TGACAAACAATTGGTTATGAAATACTATTCTTGTACTAAAAATTACTTCAGCTACTTCTGGATATCTATTAAAACAATATCTGAATATGTATACAATAAGATATATTATTAATGATTACATTTTGATAGAGAGATCAGTTGTTATATAGAATATTTGTTCTGAAAAAAAACATGATTTTACGATCTACTTGACTTGAGAAGTTATTTTTCTGTTCTATAGGATTTTATCACGAGATATGTAGCAAACATGAATTTCTTTTTTAATGCAATATAAAACAAAACTTTGCTAGTGCTTCTTATTTATTTAAGAATACTAATCTTCATTTTTATAGATTTAATTTTGAAAAACAAAAATAGAAATATGCAACTTTAAAATTCACATGAAAAAAACAAATTTTTTTAAAAATAATTGTAAAGAAAAACAAGCTACTTAAAACGACCATCATGCAGTATATAGTAATTATTGATTGTTCATACAATTGCATTCAAAAAAATTATGTTGTTATACGACCTTTCGAATATAATTGTATCCGTTGTTCAGATCGAAGATTCTGTGGTTTTAAACGCTCGCTAAAACAAAATGATCATACATATATAGAATACTTGCATATACATATACTTACGTTAATAATGATTCCCTATCCATTGATGCGAATCGTGATGAAGTTGAAGAAAATGGAATTCGTCGTTTAGATCGCTTACGTCTATCAGCTATTGTTTCATCTCTAACTGGTGATATAAGATTATATCTACCAACACCTATTGTCTATGAAAAAGAAATAAATTATAGAAAATAATAGAGATATATTTCTCATACTTGATTGCCAGCTATATTAGTAAAGGAACGTTTATCATTTCTTGATGAGGAAGTATTAAATGGAACTTTTTTCGTATGATAATCATGCTGCTCCCATGGGCGTGTTACTGCATAAGCACCTGGTCCAGGAAAATCAATATTTTTTGGTTCAAGTCCTGTTGTTTTTAATAAAAATCATTGATTAATATAGTAATTTGTTGTCTCAAAATATTTACCTGGATGTTCAATAGATACTCGATCAGTTGGTTTCTTTTGAAATCGACTTAATTTACTAAATGCTCCATGTTTATTTTTTGATAATTGATAAACGGATGATGTAGATTCAGGAAAATGTTTTGATGGAAAATCAGGTGATAAATCCCATGTATCAAGAACAGCATAATGTCCAGTTGATATCGGTGCTGAACGACTTATTGTAAATAATTGATAAGGACCTTTTTCACTAACACGTTTTTGAATTAATTCATCAACTGAACTTTTAATATTATATGTTCCAGGACCAATTTTTGAACCCTAAAATATATCAATAAAAAAGATATGTATTTCTTCTTTTTATTTTATAATCTATGTATTACTTCAAGTGGTAATGTTCTTGTACCTTGACTCCAATCAAATGAAGGAACAGTACTTCCTTGTTTCCAACGTTTTTCTTGAAGTTTTTCATCGGCAATACCGTAAGCACCAGGTGGTGGTGCTCTACTCTATTTAAGAAAAAGTTGTATTATAATAGAAATAGTAGTCAGTTTTGAACACACTAAGTTTTCTTTGGGAAATCGAGGTGTCAATTGATCAAGTTCACCTCGTATACAACGTGGTCGTCGATCAGCTTCTGTTAAAAAATCATTAATGGGGTAGGTACCAGGACCAATACGTCTTTCATTTTCTTTTCTTCTTTCATATGTTTCTTTAAATGATGAATGAGGAATTTTAGCCATTTGTTCTGTATATAATGCATGTTGCCAATTTGGACCTTGTGCACGTTTTTCAATATTTTTATCGCTAAAATCACCATATTGCATTAATTCATAAGTGCCTGGTCCAACATTTGGTGAACTTTGAAGTTGAAGACGAGTTAGTAATTCAGGGTGTATACCAAGTTTTTGAAATCTTACAACTTATTATTGAATAAAAATTTGATCAATCAATATATCCTACCTGGATGATTGGCTAGAAAACCCGAATGAGGGAGGTTTTGTAGTATCAGTAGCAGCCATACTATATAGAACGAACAACTAAAAATGAACAAACACAAATTTTAAGTGTCAATTTCTTTTTAACAAAGTTTTTCTTTCTTGAAGCGTTTTTTCTTGAGGAAAAAATCAACAGCTTTTTATTATACTTCATATGAGTGTATGATTGACATCTTTTTTTTGATTCTGTAAGCAATCAAAACACATAGTTACAACATTGACAAAAAAAACATTCATTTACATTGTAAATTTTACCATTACAATGTTGGTTACAATAACGCTCGTCCCCTATTTTACCGTTCTCAACCAATATTACTCGTTCTGTCTGCATAACTGCTTTACACTTTTATATACTATACTTTTTATTCTATTGAAAACTTGCAGTATTTTGTATTCATCATTTTTCTCCATTTTTTATTTTAAATATAATATTAACCGTAGATGAAGTATTGATGAAGATCATAGTAGCAAACTTGAATGACTTTGAATTTAGATAATATATATTACAAATGTAAAATCAATCGTTCTTGTGCTATATTTTGATCGATTTCATAGTTAATGCTTCAGAAGCTAGATTGCATTCCAGTTTAACTCAATTACGAAATGCGATGCAAAAGCTTCTTTGAGCATTAAGACAATCTTTAAGATGTATATTCCTATGAAATTCCATTCATTCTAAATGTTTGCTATAATTTATATTCATTGTTCACTTATTCAGTGAAATTTTAACTTTTGATACATTCTCTCGTGATAAAGAGTAGAGATGATTACATGAAACTCGTATAAAAAATCAATATATTTCTGTCATTCCACAACTATGAAGTGCATTTTCCCAATGTGAGATACAATTTGACATACTGACGTGACCTTTGAAAATTTCTCGAGAATGATTTGTAGTCAAAAATCGATTGAGATATAATCATAATCAAAAAATTTAACTTGATTCTCTGTAAAAGTTTTATTCAATTATTTTCATATATATGCATATAGATATCCTATTCATTTAATATGGATGGATTTATGAATTGTATGAACTATTCTTTAATACTGGAACAGAAAGAATAATTCATTTATTGATTAAATAAACTTCCTCTCCTTCTGTTCTCCTATGTTTCTGTTGAATATCTTTCTTATCTAACACAACGAAACTGTACTTGTTCCGACATAATAATGTAACCGTCAAAGTCTTTTCTACAATACATATCTTGGTAATATGTATTGTTTACCTTACCAGTGAGTGTTGCTACTCATATTATGTTCTCAACAAGGACAGAGTTTCAATTGAGACACATTCTCTTTCTCATCAATTTTATTTTACTTTCAACAAAAAAACACAGAAAGAAATTATAATTTCGTTTTTATGTTTTCGAGATTTTTTACCCGTTGTTGAAGAGATGGATGATTTGATGGTAATGATTGTTGTCCATTTTTTACAGCACGTTCATAAAATGAATGAGCTTTTGAAAAGTTACCCATATTCTCATACACTACACCGATGTTGTTATAGGAACTACCCAAATCAGGATGATTGGAAGGAAGTGATTGTTCTCGAATTGCAAGAGCTTTTCCATAATAAGAAAGTGCTTTTGAATAATCACGCATGTTTCTATACGTATTACCGATATTGTAATAGGAACCACCCAAATCAGGATGCTTGGAAGGAAGTGATTGTTGTTGAAATGCAAGGGCTTTTTCAAAAGATGAAAGTGCTTTTGAATAATCACCCATGTTGTAATATACCAAACCGATGTTATTATAAGACTTAACCAAATCAGGATGATTAGAAGGAAGTGATTGTTGTTGAATTGCAAGGGCTTTTTCATGAGATAGAAGTGCTTTTGGATAATCACCCATGCCGCCATACACTAATCCGATGTTATTATAGGAACCACCCAAATCAGGATGGTTAGAGGGAAGTGATAGTTCTCGAATTTTAAGAGCTTTCTCATAAAAAGAAAGTGCTTCTTGATATTGTCCTTGAAAATATTTGATTCGACCCAGTTGATAATAAATATTTGCTTTGTCACTCTCATTTATTGCTTGAGGAAGTAAAACTTGATAAATTTCTTGAGCTTTGGTAAATTGACCCATTTTAATTAGCAATTGGCCTAATCTGTACCATCCTTCCTCATCTGGAAAGGTCTCTTGTCGTGTACGATTAGTAAGAGCACGAAGATCTTGGTCATTGTCATTGGTCAATGTTAGGTTCACTTGATAGAGATGATTATTTTCATCCATTGGTTGAATATCCTCAATACGAAAAACGGTATGCATAGAGAAGAGAACTTCATCTTCCGTATGAAAATAACTAACGTCACTAACAGATGCAAATGGAGTTGTTGACTCAGTCGGATTAATTGATATAACAAATAAAACTCCAACAAGATCAGGATTTGTAGCAGCTTGTTGGGCGAAACTAAGAGAAATATCACGGTTTTTACTAGTTGATAAAAAATTATTGAATGAAAGAAGTCCACCTTTAGTTTCTGTCATTTCAGTGAAATCGACTTTCGAGAGACCTTGTCCACGATAAACTGTAAATGTTCTACTTGATGCAGGACTGTCAAGTTGCACTGAATGGAGTCGTTGAATATCACGATGTAGATCATTAATAAAGAAACCCATTCGAATAATAATATCAACGTCCATTAATCTTAATGCTTGATTGAGCATACGATATAAAAATGCATCCCATGTATACCACCATATAGGTATATTGTTTTTGTATGTTGCTTGTAATTGATTAACATTTTTTGAGTCATTTTCATCATCTTCATATACTTCACGACAATAAATAATGAATTCTTTGAAATGTTTATCTTCGAAGTTGATGGTTAATAGGATCTCTTTCAAGATTTGAGTATACATAAATGATGGATCTAATTGATCCAACTCTTTGTTTGGTGCCACAAAGCTGATTGATGTGGTATTATGCTCACATTGGTGAGCAGCTTGTTTAAGAGCTCCACAGATTGATGTTATATCTGTAAAAACCCCTTTTATTTTAGGCCATTCTTTCGCCCATTGTTTATGCCATTCCTGATTGTTGCAAAAAATAAAAATAGTATCTACTTGGGGGACATTATGCACACGAGGTACAATATGTTTCCCAAGTGAACCAGAAACAATCATACATACGTTGTTATTGGTAATGGTTTCAATAAATTCAATACATTTTTCAACATCGGTAAGCGTGTTTACGTTGTTAACAACACATTTTAATTGCTTGATTGTATTATTATAATCAGTATTATTATCATTAATGTTGTTGTCCAGCCAAATTACAAGGACATTTTGCATTCTTTGCATGTTCATACATCGATTTGCACTTGTACTGATGGAAAGACCAGATGTTAGCTCAAGCCTTTTTGTGCCATTCGATTTGCTGGCTGTCATTGACTCTGATTATTTGCTGTTTATAATAATAATGTGTTGTATTTAAGTAGCTTGAAAAACTTTGTAACTGAAAGAATCATTAAAGTAGCTAATTTTATAGTGTCTCTACTTTCTAACGAGATTTGTTTTGCTGCTTTTTTGAATGGGACGA